AAACAGAGAAGCTCTGTTTTAATCTCATTGATCGTTTTTTTCTGGGTTTTCCAGAGGAGAAGAAAAATGTGTTTGGAAGCGGTAAAGAAGAGAAACAATCGATGTTTCATGGAAAGGAGACTCATGGAACAAGTGAAGACATTGATGACAAGACAAGAGTTGATGATGTGAAAGGACCTGGTGTTCTCGAACGTATGAAGGAAGAAATGGAAGCCATTGTTGACGCTGTTACTCCTAAGAAGAGTTCAGACAAGTGAGAATCATCTCTTCTTGTTCCTAAGATCCCTGTAACAGATGTAACCAACCCCTTTGCTTAATAAAGACACGACCTTTTAGATTCTTGACAAAAACAATATCATCTTTGAGAGAGAAAGGGATTTTGTAATAATACACCCCAAGTTTGAGTTTTGGTATGTTAAAGCTGTTTATGATCAGGTCCTGCAATAGTTAATGAGAAGAATATTCACAAACATTTGAATCACATTTGCGCAGCCAATCGAAAGAACAAAGTAAAGAACCGTAGATTACTGATTGTGAGTTCTTATGGATTCTCTTCATTTCTCTTCAGTCTTGTCATTTCATATCCTCCCCATTATCTCAGAGCTCTGGTCCTCCAACATCATGGGTTTAATGGTTAGTTTCTTTGAGAAGATTTGGATTAAGGGTCGAAAACCACTCAGCAATATTTCATTCCTTGTCCTGGTTTCTTCAATCTTGGAGTTGACTATTCCCAATTGTAACTTAGGGGTGGGCATAAGTAACTAGAACCGAAAAACCGAACCGAATAAAAGGGTATTGGTTCGCTTCGGATCCTCGCCAAGAATTGATTGGTTCTCAAACTTCAGAACTAGTAGGTATCAGTTCGAATTTCGAACCGAATCATAACCGAAAAATCAAACATTAGAAATCCTAACTAAACTTATAAGGACCGCTAAACTTTCACGATTTTGAGATTTGTGAAAAATTGATTCGTGGCCTATGTTTTGTCTTGAATCTTGAAAAAATCGATTCATGCTTTGCTTGATTTGGAATAGATTTTAGCATGTCTTTGAACATATAGATATCAATCTTTGTAGTTTTAGTTAATAAACAAGTCCATGATTAAGGAAAAGTGAAAAACGTTGTGATTGTTTCATGTTTTGTTTCATTTTATTATGTTGTCTTCTTATCTTTAAACCATTTTGTGTTTCATTTTAGTGTTTATTTGATACTTTTAAGTTGATTTTGCGATTTGGATTCAGTTCTTTTGGTATTTATCCAAATCGAACCGAACCAATTTGATGTTTTTTTCACTTATAGTTCTCTTAATTGTGGATCCGAACCGAACCATATCGAACCAAAAAAACATTTGGTTTTTATATGATTCCTATTTTGTAAA